TGTGTGGATAGGGCCCCAACTCCATTGACAGATAGACCTGAGGGGTGGGGGTGTGGGGACTGGCTCTGTCACTCACCTGCAGGGTGACTTTGAATGAATTGCTTAATCTCTGCAGGCTCTAGGTCTTCCCATTTGCAAATAAGTGGGTGGTCATGACACCTTGCTTACATAAGGATTGAATGAACTAACCTCCAGTTATGTACCTGCACAGCACCTGATCCCAACTGGGTGCTCATTAAGTAGTCCTTGTTTCTATTAACAATCACTTGAAGGATGGCAGGGTGGTTGGTGTGTGGTGTTATGACAGGTGAGTCACACCATAGTTCAGTTTGTACTAGGAATGCACAAGGGCAAGAACCAGGGCTGTGAGAAGGGAGAACATGGCTGAGTTTGAGGGAGGGACAGAAAGCAGCTAGGAGGGCCTTCTATGGGGGAGAATGCTCTCTGAAAGCTTGCTGGTTTGATCCTACCTAAGGCACTTGGGAAGACACATCTACACCTGGTATACTCTTTCTACACAGTTATTGCAAATCATGGAGCGTGGGTCTATTTCTGAAACACAGGGTCGCCATGAGTCAGAATTGACTTGAGGACAGCTGTCCTGTTGTTGTTTTGGTTGAGCAAGAGCACAGAAGTGGGACTGTCCAGGCCCCTAATATTAAAGCAATGAGAGCAGAAAAGGTTCAGATGGGGGCCAACTCCCCTAAATCCAATCCATTGCCATCAAGTTGATTGTGACTCATGACCCTATAGGGAGGGACCCTATAGTGGCCCTAGAGGACAGAGTAGAGCTGTCCTATAGGGTTTCCAGGAAAACAGACTGCCACGTCTTTCTCGACAAAACAGCTGGTGGGTTTGAACCACCAAACTTTTGGTCAGCAGTTGAGAACTAGGGGTTCTTTTCAAGGGGAGCAATGGGCAGCAAAAGATGTGTGGGTCATTCAGATGGGGGGCCAGATTACACCCAAATGGTGACCTCTGGGTGTTAGGAAAGTTACCCTGTGGAGGGACAGTGGGACCCAAACCAGTTGGACAGGCTGCTGTCTGTCCCAGCCAGAAGTGCTAAGGCCCAGGAGAGGGAGGTGGCACCCGCAAAGACGACGTCAGGGCATGAGAATTTCTCAGGTAGAATCTGTGGATCTTAGTGCCCAGTGGGCTTTGGGGGCACTCGGGGAGGATGGTGGCAGGAATTACACTTCCAGGAAAGTTCCCCAAAGGGGAAAGGGGGAAAGGATGAATTCAGTTTAGGTTAGGTTGAGTTTTAAAATGCTGACTGGTGTGAGCATGGGAGGCCTGGATGTAGGACCTTCGGGTGCTTCTTCCTGTCCTCCTGGATTCATGTGCAGCAGGTGGGGCCCTGACTTACTCCCGCAGAGTGGGGAAGCATCTTCACGTGCCTGGAATTGGGCCTTTAATCAGGACCATCTCGTCTTTGATGTGTGACTCACACTTTGTTGCCACACGGTCCTTCAGACGCTTCCTCACAGAACACAGCAGGATGGGGCTTCCTGGGCTCCAGGTCATTTAGCAACTGGGGCAAGGTTTAGACTCAGAGTCTGAGACTCTTGGTGGAACATTGGGCCAAGGAGCTTAGACTCTCTTTCGTTTTCTCGTCTGTAAAATGGGAATACTACTGCCCCTCAGGGCCCTGGTGGCACAGTGCATTCAGCATTAGACTATGAACTGAAAGGTCAGCAGTTCGAATACACCAATTTCTCCCCAGGAGAAAGATGTGGCAGATTTGCGCCCTCTGAACCCCTCATGTATGGCAGCTCTCTCTGAGTCACAAGTGACTACAGCAGTGGGGTCACACGGTCACTACAAGGAGTGACAGGAAACCAGTTCATTTAAACTGTGAACCATAAGGTTGGCAGTTCAAACCCACTAGCTAGTCCTTGGAAACCCTATACAGGGTCACTATGAGTCAGAACCAACTCGACGGCACTAAACAACAAAAATAACCCCAAAGGAGCCCTGGTGTGGTAGGGTAGTGGTTACAAGTCAGGCTGCTAACCTCAAGGTCAGCAGCTTGAAACTACCAGCTGTTCCACAGGAGAGAGATGAGGTTTTCTGCTCCTGAGAAGATTTACAGCCTGGGAAACCCTGTACAGGGTCACTAAGAATCGGAACCGACTCCACAACATATAACCAACCAGTAACACAAAGTAGTCCTGGTGTGGCGCTGTGGGTTAATGTGCTGGACTGCAAAGTTGGTCAGTTCAAGCTCACCAGCCGCTCCTCAGAAACCCTATACAGGGTCACTATGAGTTGGAACTGACTCGATGGCACTTAACAACAATAACCCAAAAGGGAAGCCCCACTTTACGGATGTGGATGTGAAGGTTTGAAGAGGTCAAGTGTGGGTCTGGGGCAGTGCTAGGTCTGAGTGTGGTTCTAGGGTCTGGCTCAGAACCTCTATGCTATGTAAGTACCATAGTATGTAACAGATATGGAGAGTTACAAAGTTCTCTCCTCAAGACATTATTGTTAACGGTCCTTTCTCTAAAGTCAGAGTGAGGCAAAGAAATTTTATCTGTGGTCAAAAAAAGGCACATTGACTGGGCCTTTTTAAAACGTGTGCCATGTCTCCCACAGTGTGACCTTGAGCTATGATTAGAGTCAACCCAGGCCAGTCTCTCCTCCTCCCCTGCCCGGGCCCAATTTTGTAGCTGCCCTTCATCACACCCCAAGAAGGAGCCACATTCTGTGGATCTTGGACAGTAGGCCTTCCCTCACATTTACCTGTCAGCTCTAAGAAGAAGGCTTTTCACTGAATAGCAGGGAGGATTCAAACCTGTTGACTGGTACAGAGATCCAAAGCAGCACTGTCCTCAGGAACGGGGAGACTCGAAGAGGGCGCCCTGTCTTAAGAGCTGTGGGAGAAAGCTCCAGATTCAAATAGGCCTATGTTCAAGATTCTACCACTTGGGAGTAGTTCTGTGTCTCAGCGTTCTCATCTGTGTCACTGGGGTTATAGCAGCACTCTTCAGTGTAAAGACACAGGAAGCCCATTCTCCCATGACAGTTATTGGCTCTCTGGGCAGACAGACAAATTGACAAAGCACACTGACTGGGACCTACTGAATTGGTACAGTAAAGATGACAGCCTAGCAAACTCTATGGGTCAGTTCTACTGTCTAACTGGTGTCCAACAACAGCATTGGGAGACAGGTTAGGTTCTGGAGACTTCAGGAAAGGGAAATGACACCAAGGTAGGTTGTTCTGATTTTCTGTGAAACCATATTCTTAGGCTTTTAATTCCTAGGTGTTAAAGTCCTAGGTATGAAACATCACTTTAGACATATTGGCAACTGATTTTTAGAACTTTCTTTCCATAATGTTCAGCTTAACATAATTCTCCAGCATGATATAGTATACTTTTACTTTTTTATTTCGATAGTTGGAACTTACGTCAGAGCTTTGAACTGGTTCTTTCCAGTTCAGTCCTGAACTACAAAATGAAATTAGCATGGACGCGAATTTGTAAAATATGAGTGAACCAGAAAAATACTCAGAAGGAAAAATTATGGCTCAACATCCTGCTGGAAAATTAAGCCCCTCTTAGAAAACAAGGACAGTGGGTTTGTTGCATAGCAACCAAATCTCTTAATTTGCTGAGCTCCAAGATGGCAGCAAACCACGCCACTTTGAATGCGTGTCACTCTCCACAGCCCTGACATCAATTCCATCTCCCACATGAGACTCCTGGAAGGGCTCCCTAAGCTTCTTCTGAGTCCCTCACATTTCAAGGTTTCAACCTGTAATTTTTCCTGCTTTGGTGTTAAAATAAATCTGGGTCTGTTCTGATTTTGCTTTATCAACCATGGCTGAATCAGTGCAAAGCAGTTCAAAGTCCTGTTTGTCTTACAGTTTTAATTTTTCACTCTGTCTGTAGTGATTGTTTAAAAGTATTTCAGCCTTCTGTACTTTCTGTTTTGTGAATTGATTGTTCAGTCCTCCTTCTGGTCTGTTTTGTCTAATGTGTGTCAAAGGACCAGGACTAGGAGGCTGGCCAAGGGTATCAAGAATTATACTTCCTTTCCACATATCTGAGAAAGGCTCTGTGGAGAAAATGAGTTAGGAGGAAGTCTCTATGGAATAAAACTAAAAAAAAATGGTTCTGACAAAGGGCTTTGACCCAGGAAACAATGGTTCTGTAATACCAACTTTTACTAATTGTCTGTAATAGAGTCCTGGTGTGATGCTCTAGGATCAGCACTGGACCACAAGGTCAGAGGTTCAAACCCACCAGCTGATTCTTGGAAACCCTATACAGGATCACTACAAGTCCAAACTGACTCAACAGCACTTAACAACATTACATCATAAATATACATTTGTCGTTCTGTTTGTTTGCTCGTCATTTCTGACTCATAGCAACCCCGTGGAGAACAGAACAAAGTACTGCCTGGTGCTCACAATTGTGCCTGAGCCCATGTTGAGGCCACTGTGTCATCTCTCTCCCTGAGGGACTTCCTCTTTAATTTACCAACATGATGTCATACATAGGATGCCATTACATTGTGAAAATGACCCCATTGGAGGACTGACCCTTTAATTTACCAACATGATGTCATACATAGGATGCCATTACATTGTGAAAATGACCCCATTGGAGGAGTGAGAGGGCTCGGTATACCATGAGTTGATGAAGACGGATGGATGCATTTACATTCAAGCTTCTGACTGAAGGAGAGGGTCAAGACAGAAGTTGGAGCATCAATTAATTATGTAGAATTAAGACTGGAACAGAAACGTACTAGTTCAGTGGTTGGAAGGAGGGTACAGAGATGTAAAATGGGGTCTTTTAGATTCCAAATTTACAAAGTGTAGGATGACACCCCACACTCCCTCTGCTTGCCAGAAAGAGAAACATTCCTATCAATGGTTCCCCCACAACATGGTGTTGCCTTCATCACTGCAACTGCACTTTGACCTTCTTGGCATACACTGCCTTTTGGTTGCTTCTCGTTTAAGCTCTCTCTTTCCATCCCCAGACAATGGCTCCTTGGCCTGAGTTGGAAAATGCCCAGCCAGACCCCAATAAATATATCGATGGGGCTACAAAACAGCAGTCTTCCACACCTGCAAAAGGCGAACAGACCTCCAAAAGTGAGTAACCATCATCCAGCCACAGACAGACCTCTGATGGGGACTTGAGGGGACTCAGGTCTGACACCTGTGTCTTGTTGTCAGATGCCCCTGGGGGTCCTGTAACCAAGATGGAACTTCTGCCTTCCTACTCCACTGTGGCATTGATTGAAGAGCCCACGGAGGTAGATGATCCCTGGGATCTGCCGGCACTTCGGAATTCGGGGACCAAGTGGTCAGGTAAAAAGGAGCCATGTGAGGTGGGAGGCCACTGCCCAGGGCAAATATGGGCTCCTCTCAGTCACTCTCAGGTACCGCCCTTTCATTGTTCTTCCTTTAGAGCAAGGGATGGCACCTGGCTGTCACTGAGGTACAGAACTAAAGTCGTTTGTGGAATCTTTGTTCCTTCAGCAAATTGGTCATGCAACACATAATACCAGACATTAGGGTTACCACCAAGACCCACACGGTCTCGTTCTTTATTATTCATTGTGTGCCAACCATATTCTGGGCACTGTTGGACATTCTATGGGCACAGTTGTAAACAGATGCAGCCCTGTTTTCAGAGAGCTTCCCAGAGGGCCTCTCACCTAAATATGGACATCAGGGGAGGCTTCTGGAAGAGAAAAGGCCATGTGCTGTTGTTATCATGGTAACAGACCTTAGACACCTTATCCACATGCTCACACCCTATGTGGCTCCTATACCAGGAGGCTGGCCCCTGGGGAAGCATCCAGGGAAGACACAGTTAGACAAATAAATGTGCAGCCAGAGAGCTGGAGTGCAGTTGATGCTGTATTTCTTTTCCAGATGCTAGATGTAAGGTCTGTGGAGACAGGAGTTAGGGGGAATCCGAGCTGAGCAGACAACGTGGGATGGGAGGGAGGAGAACTGGGAGGCAGGGCAGCTGCAGCAAGAGGGAACTCAGTCTTCCGACTCCCAGCTTCGAGTCAGAAAGAAGAGCAGTCAAGGCCTAGGGGGAGGAGGCGGGGGAGAGGAGGAGGTGAGGATCATGTATAGCTATACAAGGGCCAGGAGAAAGTGATACCCAGAGACAGGCCAGGACTCAAAGGCCAGCCCTCCACAATTGCTTACCATGAAGCCACGTTCTAGAAGATACTCTGTGCCTTTATCTCTGACTCAGCACTTAGTGGGTGACAAGGGCTTTTATCTACCTTCCTCAGTGACAGTTCGGTTCTGCTGGGTATGGAGGCTGGTTTATCTGCCATTGTCCCAGACTGATTGCCTCCTCCTAAATGCAAATCCTTCTGAGGCTTCCCCATGTGGACTAAACGCACCTACAGAGGTGAATGCTTTCAAAATTGTCCTTGGATGCATTGTCTCTGTTGGCCTTCTATACCCAAGAGTTTCTAGCTCAGTCCACAGGAGGGGAAGCTGGACGTTCTGAGTTCATTTAGTGATTCAGACACTAAAGGCTTTCATGCTTTTTAATTTTCTTTTCAACCCCAGAGAGAGACACCAAAGGGAAGATTCTATGTATATTCCAAGGGATTGGGAAATTCATTCTCCTCCTGGGATTCCTCTACTTGTTCGTGTGCTCCTTGGATGTCCTTAGCAGTGCCTTCCAGCTGGTTGGAGGTATGGATGGAAGTGGGAGGTGCCTAACTGAATTGAATTCCTGGAATGTGTTTGGAATAGAAGCCGTTTGTAAAGTCTGTGCTGTTTCCCCACTGCTCCCATTTCACAGAAGAGGAAACAGGCCCATAAAGGGGTTATGGCCTGCCATGGTGACTTAGGCCAGAACCAGAGGTGGAGACAATGTCAAGTCCCATGTCTGTGTCCACAAGCCCAGACAGGAAGCTGTTTGATGTGAGGACTTTCCCTCTGAAGGATCCCTGCTTGCTTCTTTGAATGAGATGGTTCATTCACATTTCCTCTTGGGAGATGAATCTTCTTCTGAGTTGGGACAATCTTGCAGAGACTTAGAAGAGGAATTAGGGAGTCAGGAGGCCCAGTGGTAGCTGTTAACATCAAGTATAGAATTGATGCCGAGTCCGTGACAGAGAAGGCTAGAGGAAAGCTTCCTAAGGAGTTCAAACCTCTAGTTGAAGGATGGGAGGATGTAGGGTGATGAAACAAGATGAGTGTTGGGGACGATGGTGAGTGGAGAGCTGATTCAGAGACATGCAGATGGAGGGCATGTGAGGGCAACCAGCAGGCTGGCTCTCTTTTGGCAGCTGAACAGCACTGGGGAAAAGCATGAGATTGGGTTCCACAGCGCTAGAGATTGGGTTCCCAAACTCCATGGCCATCTGGCCTTAGGTGGAGACTTCTGTTGACCCCACTCCTACTCAGCCAATTGTCATGTGATGGTGGGTTTGTTTTCCAGGAAAGGTGGCCGGGCAGTTCTTCAGTGACAACTCAATGCTGTCCAACCCTGTGGCAGGGCTGGTGATTGGAGTGTTGGTGACTGTCATGGTGCAGAGCTCCAGTACCTCCTCATCTATCATTGTCAGCATGGTGGCTTCTTCATGTGAGTCTGGGGACCCATGGCCCATGTTCCAAAAACCCAGGCATTCCCCTGCCCATCTGGAAGACCTGGAATGAGCTCTTCATAAGAAGGGCACTTCTGAAATGGAATGAAAAGATGATGGAATTTTCCCACCAACTTTGAAGGCATATCTAGACCTTGTCACCATTATCCTCCTATCTTGTCTAATGATGATGAGTTCTAACATTGGTCCCAGACAGCCTTCTGTTTTGGTTTTATTGATTAAGCATGACCCCAAGACTTGAGGATGTATAGACTGTGTTTCCAGTCCAGCAGTCACTTGCCACGTGTCTATTATTAATTCAAATTTAAAATATAAAATGTTCTTCAGGTGCACCAGTTCCACTTGAAGTGCTCAATAGCCACATAAAACCTTCCCATCATCACAGAAGGTTCTATTGGAGGCATATGTGTATGTCTATTTCCTTGGTGAACCGCTCCAGCTTTTCATCAGGCATAGATCGAGGTGCATAATCCCTTCAGGGATCACCAGTTTGAAAGTGCTGAGCCTCGCCTGGGGTCCAGGGCTGTTTTCCAGAACTGAGCTGCTGTCAAGTCCATCCCCGACTTACGGTGACGATGTATGGACAACAGGCGCAAACAAAGTGTAATCCATAGAGTTTCCTCTGGGAGTGGATATCCAGATTCTTTCTGATCTGCCTCAGTCTGGAAGCTGACAGATGGGTGGACAGAACTGGGATTCAATCTGTGATCATCAGGAAGGCAAGAATGCTACCCGTGAACCACCACTGTCCTCCTTCCTGAACTTGCTCACCTTTCTCATCCTCCAGTGTTGACCGTGCGTGCTGCCGTTCCCATCATCATGGGGGCCAACATTGGAACTTCCATCACCAACACTATCGTGGCACTCATGCAGGCAGGAGACCGGAATGAATTCCGAAGGTAGGCGGCTCCGAATCTGCCTTTGCCACTACCGTTTGGGACCATCTTCACCAATGAGAATGTGTATTCTAGAAGTACCCCTGGTGGAGTATAGCTGGGGGTTGGGATCCCATGGCCCCAGCTTTTTCTTCATCACAGTGTGTGGTCCTTAGGGCTAAAACTGCTCAAAAAATGGATGTGCTTAGCAAGGTGCCTGGCACATGGTCAGGGAGCAATGGATGAAGCTCCGGCTCAAAGCCTGCCTGCTGTGTGGTGCAGGTTAAACCAGGCCAGTTAGGGTAGGATTTACGGTCTTGCTTAGTCATAAGTAATTATAACTTCCTAACACCTTCCATTTTTGGCCAGCTCAACCCTTGCCAATTTTACTTTGTTCTTCACTTGCATGCCAATAAAAGGCAAAATATAGCCTTTGTGGCTGCATAAGATGTGAACATGGGGCAGTTTGATTACAGTCAAAGGGAGCACATCCCAAAAGGTTGATGTGGAAATTGAGCACATTTTTTGGGGGGAGGTCTCTAACTGGTGATGGGATTAAAAAATTTTTTTTCAGACATATATATATATATAAGGAGCTCTGGTAGCGTAGTGGTTACGAATCGGGCTGCGAACCTTAAGGTCAGTGGTTCGAAACTACCAGCTGCTCCACGGGAGAAAGATGAGGCTTTCTACTCCCGTAAAGATTTACACCCTCGGAAACCCTGTGCAGGGTCACTATGGATCGGAACCGACTTGACGGCACTTAACAACAACAATATATGTATATATATATGTATACACATATATAAAGCACTGAGCAAGACAGACTGGAAATATGATGCTGTTTCTGCGTGGGACAGGCAGATGGCATTAAAGCAGACAAGCTGGGGAGACTGCAAATGTCATCCTTCAAAGATGTCCTCATTGCTCCAGAGCCTCAGGGAACGTCCTTGCTCCCTGCTGACGTGTCCTGATTTAGTGTCTTCTGTGCTTTTCTCAGGAGGCAGAAACCATTAAAAATGATTTCTCATTGTTGGAAACATACACAGTAGAACATACACCAATTCAATTTCTAGGCCCATTTTGTGAATGTGGAAACTGAGGCTCACAGATGCTAAATGTCATCACTCCTGAGACTTGATCCAGGTTTTCTTAATCCAGACTTTGGATTCTTTCCAATGTTTGCCTCAGAGCAGCAGTTGTTAATGAAATAAGTTCTAACAAGCAAGGTGCCTGGTGCATAGGAATTGACTTGATTTAGTTGGCATCTGTTTGGAAATATTTAAATAGATTGTTTTCTTTGGAAATGTTTTTTGTTTTATTTTTCTTCTTTCTCTCCTGGACTATTTCCTTAGTCCTAGAACCATAATTGGAGTCCTGTCCTGGTGTGGCGCTGTGGGATAAAGCACTGGACCGCAAGGTCGGTTTGAACCACAAGGTTGGTGGTTCAAACTCACCAGCTGCTCCTTGGAAAATATACAGGGTCGCTATGAGTCAGAAACAACCCAATAACACTCAACAACAGCAGAACCGTAATTACGATCTCAAGCATCTATAGGACTTTCAGAAAATTTTGCCAAATTACTAATGCGGACAGAACTGGGGCTTGGGTTAGGTGAAAATTTGCACCTATGGTTTCTTTGATTGCTAGTGAAGTTCAGCATTGATTTCCTCTTCATGGTTGTTACGGTTGCTGTGATTTGCCCATGCCTATTGTCAATGAGCTCTGCGAACCAAAAGATCAGCAGTTCGAAACTACCAGCTGTTCCGCGGGAGAAAGATGAGGCTTTCTGCTTCTGTAAAGAAACCCTGTCCAGGGTTGCTATGAGTCAGAACCGACTCCACAGCACATAACAACAATTGTGCAGTTTACACTTGGATGCAGGAGTGGTTTTTTCTCAACAGACAGGTGTTATTAAAGGGAGATTTTTGCTTGAGGAAAAAAATCTTGTTCAGAGTTTTTTTTTTTACTTGGGCATGGATGGGATGGCATTTGGGAGGATCTGTGAATCTTCCCAGACAGTTGCACAGATTAGTATATGTGAGTGTTTTTTCCTATGGAGACTGGCTGTATGCTTCATGAGATTCTCCAAAGGAGCCATGATCTTATATTTTCTTTCTTTCTTTTTAATGTTTTATTGTGAATTGTGTCAAGTTTACATGGGAGAACATTAGATTTACAGTCATCTTATCGTTTGTTGTTTCCTTGCCATGGCTACAATCCCTTTCTTTTTAAAGCTAAGAGGTGGCTTGTATAGAGGATTTCTTTGGTTGCCTTCATACCAGTTTCCACCGTTGCAAAGAAAGGCTGTCTCATACAGTATGCATGGTTCACAAGTCATCTTGATGGCAGTTTTTGAAACAACTGTTTAAGAGAACATGCAAGACTTCCAGCTGGGTGCTCTCTGATCTGGTGGGGAAAGCTCTGCCGAGGAGTGGATACAAGGGTCCTAGAGACCCAAAGCCCTATTTTTGCCAGCCCTCAGTTTCCTCATCTAGGAATATTACAACCAACCATTTCATCATCATCGTAAGAATGAAAACGAGCTTTTACACACGTGTACACAATTGGGAGTCCTGGTGTGGCACTGAGGATTAATGTGCTGGACTGCAAGCTTGGCTTGAACCATAAAGTCGGTGGTTCAAGCACTGCAGCTGCTCCTTGGAAACCCTAGACAGGGTCGCTATGAGTCGGAACCGACTCGACAACATTTAACACCAACAAACAACAAGCAGATGGTAGGAGTAATGACCTCTCTCAACTGCCCACTTGCTTGTTGACTTGGGTTGGGGCTCCCTCCACACAGGGCTTTTGCGGGCGCCACCGTCCATGACTTCTTCAACTGGCTGTCTGTGCTGGTGCTCCTGCCCCTGGAGGCCGCCACCAAGTACTTGGAGCTCCTGACCAACCTCATCGTAGAGTCCTTCCACTTCAAGAATGGCGAAGACGCCCCAGAACTTCTCAAAGTGATCACTGATCCATTCACAAAGCTCATTATCCAGGTAAGACTGGTCCTTCCACTGTGGGGAAGAACATCACCTCTCCCAGCACCACCAGCCAGGCAGACCTGGTGAAGGGGGGGGGGGGGTCCCTATGAACACCGCTATGACTACCTCAGAGACAAGGAAGATGGGCTTTGGGGACACCTGTGAGAGTCATCGGCCTTTCTTGTTGCCCCGACTCCCTCCCCCTTGTTTCATCATTGTTGTGAGGGAGAGGGAAATGCTTCTTGTGAGACTCAAGGGCTTTCTGGTGGAAACCTCAGGATGCTTCAGTGCCAGGTTGTACCCATTTTAATTCTCACTGTCAGGAAAAAGAAAGTGGGGAAAAAACAAAGCAAACAGCTGAGACAGTTCCAACTAATGGAGACCCCATGTGTGCCAGAGTAGAATTGTGCTCTTTTATGGGTTGAATTTCAACAGTAGATTGCTAGACCTTTCTTTGTGGCACCTCTGGATGGAGTTGAAGCTCCAACAGAGTGTTTTAATGGCTTGTGCCACAGGTGGGACCTGGAGGAGAAACACTGAACTGTGAAGGTTCGAATCCACCAAATGCTCCTCAGAAACCCTACACAGGTTTGCTATGAGTCAAAATTGACTCAATGGCACTTAACAACAACAACATGGAATCTTGGTTGGTTGTGTGCCGTGGAGTCAGATCCAACTCATAGTGACCCTGTATGGGGTTTCCAAGGCTGTAAGTCTTTACGGGATCAGAAAGTCTCATTTTTTCCCACAGAACAGCTTGTAGTTTCAAAATACTGACCTTCAGGTTAGCAGCCTGACTCTAGAGAAAATAAAAGAGCCCACTAATAATACTGCTAGTCAGAAAGGAGAAGTGGTCATTTCACTTGTATGGTCACTAGTAATAATTGTTAGCTGCAATTGAGTTGGCTCCCAACTCTGACGGCCGCACACACAATAGGATTAGACCATTGTGATCCAGAGTTTACATTGGCTGATTTTTCTTTAGTCTCTCTTCATCCAGAATCTCTGCTGGAATCTGCTCAGCGTCATAGTAACCAACGTATCATAGCGTAGACACTAGTCTGACTCTGTCACTTCTTCATCCAATGATTATGTGCTCCCTAGAGACTCCTTTGTTTATACAATCAGTCATTCATTTATCAAGCTCGTGCTAACTTCTAGAGTCTATCCTGAGTGTGCACACAGAGTGAGACCAGTTCATCTCTGAAGATCTATGTTGTTGTTGTTGTGTGCCATGGAGTCGGTTCTGACTCATAGCGACCTGTACGTAGTTTCCAAGGCTGTGAGTATTTATGGGAGCAGAAAGCCTCATCTTTCTCCTGTGGAACAGCTGTTAGTTTCGAACAGCTGACCATGGAATGAGCAGCCCGATTCGTAACCACTATGCTATAGATGAGTCAAGCTCTTTAGAACTTTTCTAGCACTAGTTTCCATGCTTCCTCTACAAAGCCATTCTGAAATTGTGCTGCCTCTTATCTATTGCCTTCCTCAGCTGGATAAAAAAGTTATCAACCAAATTGCAATGAAGGATGAAGCAGCCCAAAACATGAGTCTGGTCAAGATTTGGTGCAAGACTTTTACCAATATGGTAAGTTTCTGAGACTAGCATCTGAACTTTAAGCATTCGTTCAGAAAGGTAACAAGAAGATAAAAAGAAAAAAAAAAAAAATTAGCTCCTGAAAAATCAAGACTGACCAATGTAATTTCACAGTGAGGAATTGTCTACTGGGTTGACTAAGTAGGACAGAGAGGTGTTGCCCATCACAAAGTCCCATACAGATGATTCCTGACTTACCTCTGCCTACATCCCAGATTCCGTTTATGGAGGGACCCAGGCAAACAGTGCATCCTCGTGCACTCAGATGGTAGCATTTCTCACCTGCCAGACTGGAAGTTTCTGCCAGAGAACTTGTGTGCTCCTCCTCTGAAGGCCCACAGCCTCCTATGGAGTCAGGAAAGTTTACTCAGCCTGCTTTTCAGTGTAAGACTTTAACCAGTATGTTAAGTTTCTAAGACTAGTATCTGAACTTTAAGTTCATGGAAGAATGAATTCTTTGAAGCTCCCCCCATCTGTAGGTTTTTGAGAGGACCTAAAGCTGGAGGAGAAAAGACAGGAAGTAGATCTGGAGGCTGTTTTTGTTTGTTCTCAGCTGTTTCAAGAGTGCTTTCTATAAAGACAAGCAGCGACATAAACAGGCAGAGCCCAACAAGCTTCGATAAGAATATTTTATAAAAGCTTCACAATCCCACCTTATATTTATAACAACTGGCACATTAAAATAAAATATTAACAAGTCTTTGAAACAAAGCAATATGACCAAGCCACTGTGCACACAGATAGGTGTAATGTGTCCCTTCTGGCCCCCACAGTGCCTGACACTCCCCACCAAAAGTAGATACTAGAGACCACACTATTTCTTATTTTTCTGTCCAGACTGAGATGAATGTCACCGTCCCCTCGTCTGAGAACTGTACTTCCCCTTCCCTCTGTTGGTATGATGGTCTTGAATTCTGGACCACGAAGAACGTGACGTACAAGGAGAACATTGCTAAATGTGAGTGGAATTCAGCAGGGCATTGGTCTCTGGGATAGGTTGTCTGGGAGGCCACCCAGAATTAAACATGATACTTCAAGTGTGATTTGCCACCTCCTCCCCTCCCCTCCACCCAGAGAGTCAAGAGAATTGATCACCTCCCATATTGTCTGCTATCTGTCTTATCTATCAATCAATCTATCGCTATAACTTGGGTTTGGCAGGGTTACCATGGAGACAAAGACTTTGAAAAACAAGGCATTTTATCATTAACAACATATCCCCTCTGGTAGCGTGGTGGTTACGAACCAGGCTGCTAACCTCAAAGTCAGCCGTTTGAAACAACCAGCTATTCCAAGGGAGAAAAATGAGGCTTTCTGCTTCCGTAAAGATTTACAGCCTTGGAAACCCTATGCAGGGTCACTATGAGTCGTAACCGACCCCATGGTACACCATACCACCACCAATATATCTCCTGTTCTGACTTTACCATCCTATCCCACATTGTTCCTCAAACAGCATAAAATGTTGAGGTAGACGGACTGGGCTGGAGACTTGGAGTTGTCCCCGACTAGCTTTGTGACCTCATGGAGCTACCTTCATCTTCCAGTCTCATGAGAAAACACCTATCAGTTGTGAAGCATGTTGGCAGTGAAATAGGTGCACACTTGGTTTGGATCTCAAGGTCACCACTTTCTAAAAGTGTGACCTTGGGTTTACCCTCTCTGAGCCCAGGTTTCCTCATCTGTAAAATGGCAATTCAATGCCGCCTTGTTGGCTTTCTGTGAAGAATAGTTTATCACTAACAGTGCTGTAGGATCAGCTCTGGATTGTCAACCAAAAGGTCATCAGTTCAGTCTCACCAAGTTGCTTCTGGGAAACCCTATACGGGGTTGCTATGAGTCGGAACCAACTTGATGGAACTTTAACAACATCAGTCATGTACTTCAGGATAGATGTTGAAATATATGTTCCTTGTGATGATGAATGTGACAATTTGTCAACTTGATACCTTCCAATTTTCCTACATTCATACTTTATAGTCCATGTACCAATGGATGTTTACTATTGTTGCTTTTCATTTTGCAGCATGTCAGGATAACATCCACACACTTACAAGGAAGACCAGTTAATATGACTGTTATTCAAATTTATGCACCAATCACTAATGCCAAAAATGAAAAAGAAAGTAACATTTTTACCAACTGCTGCAGTCTGAAATGGACTAAACATGCTGTCAAGGCAATTAGATTAGAATGTAAACATTGGAAACGAAGAAGGATTAGTAGTTGGAAAACATGACCTTGGCAATCAAAGCCAAGCAAGGGAGACTGGGACCCAATGGGGCCTTTATAGGGAATAAATAGCATGTAATCCTGGGTGGCTGTGTTCTCCTGACAAGGACTTTCCCTCATCTCTGCAGGTCGCCATATCTTTGTGAATTTCAACCTCCCGGATCTTGCCGTCGGCATCATCTTGCTCATCATCTCCTTGCTGGTCCTCTGTGGCTGCCTGGTCATGATTGTCAAGCTCCTCAACTCTGTGCTGAAGGGACAGGTTGCCATTGTCATCAAGAAGACCCTCAACACTGGTAGGCAGTGACCCCCATCCTCAGCCTTCCAGGGCATGATGACACTGGCCACCCCACAAGGATCCTTTCAGTTTCTATCAGGCAGTGGCTTCTGCATGGTGTTTCTCTCTTGGATCTGAAAAGTTACCGATGTTCAGATGCCATTCCTCTTTGAAATTTATTTCCCTGGTGTCTTGTGTGGGAACCTGGGTAGCAGGCACAACATTCCATCCCATGTTGACAAAGTCCAACTGAAATCCAGAGAGCCATGAAGTTAGACTTCTATTTCTATATACCCAGGCTTTTACTGGGCCCACCTGGTCTGTACTTTCTTCTGCTCTTTGGGAGGAAATGTTGCTCTAGATAAATACGTCAGCATCTGCAAACAGTCAGTGGCCAAGAGGTGCTTCTGCTGAGTACACGGTCCTGATCAATGACATGCATCCTGTGCTTGTTCCATGAAATGACCAAGAATATCTACCTGCTAGGGTTGTCATGTGAAGTAGGGTGTTGGAGACCTGATCCTGTTCCCATGGTGTGGAGAGCTGAGTTGTTAGGCTTGTCCCAAGCTGCTACATGTCTTTCATTCCCGTTTAGTTGGAAATAATGGTGGGGAGTTTGTAGTAACAGGTAACAAACAGGGTGTGGAGGAGGTATTAGGTCTGGGTGCACCAAGTAGTTTGTGGGAGGTATTTGTATAGGTGCAGCATTTATAACTAGCCTCTGGCCCCCAACAAATCTGTGTTTTTCTTCACCCACAAAACACCACACCCACATTGTGAAAATGCAGAGTGAAAGGATGTGGGGAACGAAACTACAGGCTATGGGGTGGGGTGGAGAAGCTTCTTCACAACCTAACCCAGGGCCCACCAGCCTGTGACCCAGGTTCCTCTAGAGGTGCCTTCCCTAGAAGGGTGTGAAAGACCTGATTCTCTTCTCTCTTTCAGATTTCCCCTTTCCCTTTGCCTGGCTGACTGGTTACCTGGCTATCTTCGTGGGGGCGGGAATGACCTTCATTGTGCAGAGCAGTTCCGTGTTCACGTCAGCCTTGACTCCGCTGATTGGTGAGTTTCCCACTTTCTCTCCTTCTTGGCTTCTCTGGCTACCATTGCCTTCTCCCATCATCCTCTAGGGCTGATGGTATGGTCTTTACAATTTCCTCCTAGGCATTGGTGTGATAACCATTGAGAGGGCGTACCCACTCACACTGGGTGCCAACATCGGTACCACCACCACCGCCATCCTGGCCGCCTTAGCCAGCCCAGGCAAGACATTGAAGAGTTCGCTCCAGGTCAGGACTTGCTGCATGGGGAAGGGCTCTATGTGGGGTCAGGAGGCCTACAACCATAGAAATCTCTTGTTTTTGCAAACTAATGCTATCTAACAAGAATCAGGTTTTTATCTGCTTGGTTCAGAAGGTGGAAACAGGCTGAGAAGAGAAGCTTTGGAGAGATAATGGGGTCCAGGGCCTCAATCTAATAACAGACAAAGCTGTTCCTTTGAGGGAACTAGCAAGATTTCCATCATTAGCAGTGGTTACAATGAAGGCTGAGTTACCACTTGATTACAAGGAAGGTTTAGTCCAGATAACCCCTCACATCTCAACTCTCTATGGGTGAATCTGTTTGTCGTCTTAGCTAGCATGACAACCACTTCTATTTAGACAGAGAAGCAGCTAGGGCATGGTCAGGCATTAGAAGAAGGCGTGATCCTGCCCTGCTTGATCCAACTAAGTAGTCTTGAGCAAGTTATTTATATCCCTACTGTGGGGCCAGGCATTCAGGGATTTGAATCCTGGCCTACCCTTTACTCACCTCTCTGAGCATCAATTTCCTCATCTGAAAAATGAGGAATCTAATCTGTCTCATTCGGATGATGATAACATACAATAAAGGTGTGGCCCAAACTACTGCCAGCAGAATATAATAGGAGTCACAAATATGAGCCACACATGTGTTGCAGATTTTTTAGTAGTCACATTAAAAAAAAGGTAAAAAATATATAAGACCGCATTTGACAATTCAATAGTTTTTACGTGTAGTAACAGCTAGTGAGTTGTTGCTATTGTTAAGTGCCATCGAGTCGGTGCCAACTCATAGTGACCCTGTACATGGTCTCCAAGGAGCAGGTGGTGAATTTGAACTGCCGACCTTGCAGTTCATCTGGCTTTGTGGTTGAGTGCTTATCCTACAACCCCACACCAGGAGTGTGTAGTCACATTTTAAAAATTGAGACAATCCTCACAAAATTCAGTGATCAGGGCCTGGCGCATTCTAAATACCCATAAGCATTTGCGCTGCTGTGATTATGGGACACCATCTTATTCCTTGTTTCTCTCTCTCTCTCTCTCTCTCTCTCTCTCTCTTCCTACAAGGAGGTCATTGAGCCATAAAATGCAACCATTCTATCAGCCCTTTCTCTTGCCCAGCCCATGCATGGACAAGCATGCTTTGTGTCCAATACAGCTTGACTTAGGGCAAGCTGAAAATTCTCTCTACTGAGTGGTTCAGAGGTGGAAGAAGCAGGGCTGAGCAGTGGGTAAATTCATGAAGTTCATTGTTGGGAGGACATTGAAGGGCAAAGGGAGGGGAGTGCAACCCTGTGTGAGTGGACTTTATTTCTTCTCTCCCTATGTCTGGGCAGGCCCAGGATGACCTGGGGTGGAGGAGTGAGGCAGGGGATAAGGACAAGAGAGTGCATCTACTGGCTTGTACATGAAAACCATTTTAGAAATTGGCTTAAGAGCCAAGAGAAATGTGATTGATGATGGAAAATAATGCAATTCAATTTCAATAGAACTTGATCTTACTGGATTCCAATACAAGACCCAATACTCCATTGTAAACTTTTATTGCTATTTATTTACCATAAAGCTAACTACCTTTTTTTCAATTGAGGTACAGTTGTTAGGATAGCTGAATTTTTACCTGTCTTCACTCCTATTATATAAATAAATACTATTATAAATACTATTGCCATCGATGCTGAAATCTCCTGTAAACTTCCTCTCGGTCACACAAAACCTTTCATCTTTCCACCAGAGTAACTATGACTTGAATATCTTTTATCTTAGACTAGTATTGTCTACGTAGCTCTGGTAGTGTAGTGGTTACAAATCAAGGTTGGCAGTTCGAAACTACCAGCTGTCCTGTGGGAGAAAGATGAGGCTTTCTGCTCCCGTAAATATTTTACAAGCTCAGAAACCAGGTGCAGAGTCACTATGAGTTGGAACCAACTCCACGGTACTTAACAACAACAACAGTTTTGTCTGCTCCTGAGCTTCGTATAAGATGGAAATGTATGCGTATACAAGTAGTCCCCAATTTAACCACTATGCCTGCACTTAGACCTGGTCATCCCTACTACACATTGTGCAGTGTGTCATTTGCTGATGTTATCATTCTCAGATGTAACGTTTCCAACCCCCAAATACAAATGGATTTATAAAGATACTGCTAATAAAAGGCCAGAATAGAAAATTTAGGACAAATTATAAAGAGGTATTCAACTTAACGTAAGAACCAACTTACTACAGAGTAATTGTCAGAATGGAACACCATTCAGTTGTAAGTCTGGGACTAAATGTAAGATGCACTTTTTGGTGCCTGGCTCCTTAAGTCTGTGAGCTTCTTCCAGATTCGTTCTTTTTCACTGTTGTGTAGGAGTCCGCTGTATAATGAGGTTTACTATAGCATCATGGTACCTTTTATAAAGGAGCTCTGGTAGCGTAGTGGTTACGAGTTGGGCTACTAACTACAAGGTCAGCAGTTCAAAACTACCAGCTGTTCCACAGGAGAACGATGAGGTTTTCTGGTCCCATACAAATTTATAGCCTTGGAAACCCTGTGCAGGGTCGCTATGAGTCAGAACCGACTCTAAGGCACATAACCACCACCACCACCACCTTTTATAATAAAATAATTTATGAGGAAATTGCCTTCCTGGAACTCAGCAGAGGGGCTGTTGGGGTGGGGGAGGGTGAAAGAACTTCCTTGATTCTTATTCCCAGAAACGAGCATTTGTTCCTACTTGGGAGACAAGTGATGTCTGTATGTTTATGGGTGGATGGTTGTATAGCCAACCCATTAGCTGGTGTGAGCTGATGCTGACTCCTAACTATTCCTTTCTTCCCCTTCCCCTCCCGACACCCAATCTAGACAACAGAGGTGCCCATTCATATGTTCAACCCCTTTCTGTTTCAGATCGCCCTGTGCCACTTCTTCTTCAATATCTCCGGCATCTTGCTGTGGTACCCAATTCCATTCACCCGCCTGCCTATCCGCCTGGCCAAGGGGCTGGGCAACATCTCTGCCAAGTACCGCTGGTTTGCCATCTTCTACCTGGTCTTCGTTTTCCTTCTGACCCCACTGGCAGTGTTTGGCCTCTCCCTGGCCGGCTGGCCGGTGCTGGTAGGCGTGGGTGTTCCCATCATCCTCTTACTGCTCCTAGTAGTGCTCCTCCGGCTCCTACAGTTCCGCTGCCCAAGTATCCTGCCCCAAAAGCTCCAGAACTGGAACTTCCTGCCCCGCTGGATGCACTCGCTGAAGCCCTGGGACAACCTCGTCTCCATGGTGACCAGCTGCTGCCAGAGGCGCTGTTGTTGCTGCTGCCGCGTGTGCTGCCGTGTGTGCTGCCTGCTGTGTGGCTGTCCCCAAGGGTGTCGCTGCAGCAAATGCTGCGAAAATCTGGACGAGGTCCCGGAGCACTCCAAGGACATCCCCATCAAGGGCCCCGAGGCCTTCGATAACATGGTCATACATGGCCAGCAGGCCCAGGTTGGGGCCAAGTCCATCTCCAACAGCACAGCATTATAGGGGGCTGCCCAGAGGTGGGAAGAGAGACCCCAAGCTCCACACGCTTATGCATGCCTTTCACGAAGCAACGGACTTGACATCAGTCTAGCTCTCACACCCCTTAACCCAGTTCATCATCCGCAGGGTTGTTAATTTCAGCCCTTCACTGTCCACTCCCAGGAAAGCTCAGGGCAACCCCGAGTGAGAAACTGGTCATGAAACCTGCTGACTGAACTGATCACTAGGACCTAGTCTCTGATTCACAAACCAAGGGCAACATTTATGGAAAGTTCTCAAAGATGCATAGGTAACTATGTGTATTTTACACATTCAGTCATAAGCATACCCATATATGTTTTTCTTAATTGATAAAGCTCACCCAAGAGGTGGTTCAAGGCTGCGGCTCCCAGGAACCCTTGCCCTAATCAAGGAAGAGGCCTAAGTAGACTTGGAGAGGACCAAATACACTCCTCACCTGGGTGGCTAAGCTACAGGGCTTCACTGTGCTCTTTGTTTCACCAGCCCAGAAAGAGGTCCTTTCCCCACATGGGTTCATTGGAGAGAGAAGCCTAAAGGATCTCAGGCTCGTCTTAATTTGATTACTTTAGAAGACAGATTCACAACTTATCAAAGAAACCTAATGAGGCAGATAAAAACTCTACCCCCTTTCCACCACAGGGCGTTGGACCATTTGAAATAAGCTCTGCAGGTTCTCTAAGCCCCTTCCACTGCTGCCTTAGAATAGTTCTCCCTGCCTAGTTCTCAATCTCTGAACAACCAACTTTCTGAATCAGCTTTTAGTATCAGCTTCTACCACCCCCCACCCACCCATTGGTTGGAATCCCAAATTCTCCTATTTCTCTAGAGATGAGCTTTTCTGTCCTGCTCTCTCCTCATGCCTACAAAATCCCAAACTCTTCTCCTAAAGAAGAAACCAGAGCTTGGCTCTGATGTCCCTAATGTGCCTTCTGGGACCAACCCCAAGTTGTATTGCCTCTTTTTCCTCCACCGCCCATCCCTCTCCCTCCCCCCCCCCCCAACCTCTAAGGCAGGACTCCAGGGTTCTCAGGAGGCAAGATGTAGGGGCTTGACCCCCCCCCCCCCACACACACACCAGCCCATTCCCCTACTCACCATTGAGTGAAGTTCAGTGGTGTCTGGGAGAGGGTCTTTAAGAGGTCTCCAAGACCCTGTCCTCCCCCATCCCAGCTTCACCATCTTCATAAGTTGTAATACCAAACTGAGCCCTCCCCTTGGCCCTCCCCTTTGTAGATAGCCATGCCCAGACAGAGCCATTTATACTTTATATTTTTAGCCGCACACCTGTACAGCACATTTCATACCTTAAAAGCAGCCAGAATAATTTGCGTTCTCTAGTGCTCTCATTTGGAAATGAGGCGGGATTCCTTCTAGGAAATTGAAAACTCAAGTTTCATCTTTGTATATTTTGTAATGGTGCCTCTGGAACCACACCTGCACCCCCCACACTGTAAATATGTAAGTTAAACCCAAACACGGGCTGTGACCTTCTTTGCACTCTGCTGGCCTTTTTTTTTTAATTTAGATTTCTGTATTGTGTCAATGGTTTTATTTTATTTTTTAAAACTGGCTGTGGGAAGGGAGAAATTAAAAATAAAATACATACATCAAACCCAAAGAGAATGTGTTTTCCGTTACCAGGAAATAGGGGCCTAGGTTTATTTCCTAAAAATGAGATGGCTTTCCTTACGTTGACTACCCACTACCAACACCAGGGCCAGTGACATGATTTGTACGGGATCCTTGTTCAAAACGCAAGGGCCAGAATGCCATTTTAGGAATTGAATTTGATGGTTCCTTATATTGTGCTGAAGAAGAAACATGTCCCTGAGAGTGAAAGTCAAGTCAAGAATAGATTTGACGTACAGAAAACCAGTGAACGGACACAAGGCCCATTGTGGGATACACAAAGAAAGACTGGGAGAGAGCCCTTTCCAAAGACAAAGCAATAGAATGGGGACAGTATCAAGCACTAACATTCGTATCACACACAAATAAAAACCTTGATGAAGATCATTATCAAAAATCAGGAAAGGTGTGTGTCAGGGTTGTATACCTGCACCGTATTTATTCAGTCTGCATGCTGAATAAATAACCCAAGAAACTGAATTAGATGAAGAACATGGCATCGTGCTCATTAACAACTTGCAGTACGCAAAGGACACATCCTTGCTCACTGAAAGGGAAGAGGACTTACTGAGGAAGACTGAGGACTACAGCCTTCAGTATGGATTACACCTTGGTGTAAAGAAAGCAAAAATCCTCATCACCGGAATAATAAACATGATAAACAAAATATTGAAGTTGTCAAGTATTCCAGTTATTTAGCACCACAATCAAACACCACTGGAGGCAGCAGTCAAGAACTCAAATGATATATACATTGAGAAAATCTGCTGCAAAAGACTTTTTACTTTAAAGGTGTCAAAAAGCAAAGATACTACTTTGAAGACTAAGGTGTGCCAGACCCAAGCCATGGTATTTCTGATGCCTTCATATGCTTCGTCTCTCATACTTCAGACAGATTGTCAGGAGGGACCAGTCGCTGGAAAAGGATATCATGTTTGGTAAGGTGGAGGGTCAGAGAAAAAGAGGAATACCCCCAGCGAGATGGATTGGCCAAGTGGCAGCATCAATGGGCTCAAACGTGGCAACAGTTGTGAGGTTGGCCCAGGATTGGGCAGTGTTTCGTTCTGTTGTACATAGGGTCACTATGAGTCAGTACCAACTCAATGGCACCTAACAACAACAACAACATATGCACATGAAAGCTGGACAATGAATAAGGAAGACCAAGGGAACACGGGTGCCTTTGAAGAGTACTAAAGGTACCATGGATTGCCAGAAGAATAAACAAATCTGGCTTAGAAGGACAGCCAGAATGCTTCTTAGAAGTGAAGATACTCAGACTTTGTTGCAAGTAATTTGGATACAAGAAGGACATCGAGCTCAGTAGACAATGAGTGGAAAAGAAAACTGCAGCTGCAAAAATGGGATCCACCCCTAACAATGATTATGAAAACGGTGCAGAACCAGGCTGCGTGAACCAGAATTCACTCAACGGCAATTCCATGTGGGTCACAATAAAACTGCGCGTCATAGTTTTGTGTGTTTTTTCTTAGATTTTATTTTGTTGAATATACAAAGCAAAGCAGAGACCATTTCAACAGCTTTGACATGTATCATTTAGTGTTACAGATTACATACTTCAAGTTGTGCAACCATCTCAGCCACCTTTTCTTAGCTGTTCTTCTTTTATTAAAAAACACACTGTCCCCTAAGGCTCCTATCCAGTCTTTCTAGTTGTTGTCACTTGGATCCTATAAAGGTGTGACACTGCAGGATTGGCTTGAACCGCTCCTTGGAAGCCCCATACAGGAGTATGTGAGTCAGAACTGACTCGACGGCACTTACCAACAACATAGAGATACACTGGAAACCACCATTTATGTATCAGTTTGTCCACTGTGGTGGCCTCTGTGTTTCTGTGATGTTGAAAGCTATGCCACCAGGGTCACCCATGGTGGACAGGTTTGAGCTGAGCTTTCAGACTAAGGCATTCTGGGAAGACAAAGAGGACAACTACTTACAAATATTTAGTCACTGAAAACCTTATAAATAACAGTGAACCACTGTCAGATAGCACCAGAATATTGAATATTGAAACATGAGAAGTAGCACAAAAATATTTTCAGATATAGTGCCGAAGATGAACACATCAGTTTGGAAGGCACTCAAAATGTTAAGTGCCGTCAAGTTGATTCTGATCCATAGTGATCCAGTATAGGGTTTCCAAGGAGCAGCTGGTGAATTTTAACTGCCAACCTTGCAGTTCAAATGGCTTTGCAGTCCAGCACGTTAACCCACAGCACCACACTCAAATACAATTGGGGAATTGCTGCCTCTTCAAAATAGAGTTGACATGATGACTTGAATGGAGTAAAGCCTGTGAGACCTTCATGTGCGTCTAGGCCACAACTCAAAGTGAGAAGAAACAGCTGCAAATATCCATTAATAATTGGAACATGGAATGTACAAAGTGTGAATCTAGGAAAATTGGAAATGGTCAAAAATGAAATGGAACATATAAATATTGATATCATAGGCATTAATGAGCTGTACTGGATTGGCATTGGCCACTTTGAATCTGACCAACACATGGTTTACTACGACGAGAATGACAAATTGAAGAGGAATGGCCTTGCATTCATCATGAAAATGAACATTTCAATACCTGTCTTGAAGTACGGTGCTGTCAGTTATAGGATAATATCCATGTGCCTACAGGGAAGACCAGTTAATGCCACTATTATTCAAACTACACAAGAACAACTAAAGCCAGTGAAGATGAAATTAAAGTATTCTACCAACTTCTTCAACCTGAATTGATCAAACATTCAATCAAGATATATAGATAATTACTGGGGATTGGAATACAAAGAAGGTTGGAAACAAAGAGGAAGGATCAGTAGTTGGAAAATATGACTGGTGATCTATATGATGCTGGAAATCGCATGATAGAACTATGCAAGATCAATGACTTCATTGCAAAAACCTTTTAAAATAACATAAAAGACAACTATACACAGGGACCTCACCAGATGGAATACACATAAATCAAATTGATGACATCTGTGGAAAGATACGGTGGCAAAGCTCCATAGCATCAGCCAAAGCAGGTCCAGAGACACTGAAATAGACCATCAATTGTTCCCGATTGTGCGGGTCATGACAAGCTCTAAGTAACATTGTAAAGAATGAGTACTCCAGAAGTCTTAATTGTGTTCATGACGAGCCTGTACATAGACCAAGAGGCAGCTGTTAGAACAGAACAAGGGAACCCTGAATGGTTTAAAATCAAGAAAGGTGTGTGCCAGGGTCATATTCTTTCACTACACTTATTCATACTGGGCAACCATTTTGAACTATTTTCAGCAAAATTTTACTTGTGATACTAATAATATTGTTTGATGATTTACACA